TCTTTTGGCACCTGTTGCCATGACTCCTCCTCCTCGGCGGCGGCGGGAGCGCAGGGGGCCGACCCGGGGCGGGCAGTCGCCGAGCGTCCGCCTCCTCAGCCTTCGCTGGGCCGGGTCCCTGGGTGGGTGGTTCGCAGGGCAAAGGCTGAGCCGCTCCTTCCTAAGGCCTCGGCTCCTTCCCGCTTTCCGCAGTGAAAAGCAGACTTCAGGACGGAAGCAGACACCTCCCTCTCCCTCACCTTTCTGCCTGGGATGGTCGTAATGGTCCCCGTGGACGCATTCCAAATGAAGAACGGCCCCCCGGCCGCCCACGATCGACTCGCCTGCAGACATGTCAGCCGCCGGCGCCCGGGGCCTGCGGGCCACCTACCATCGGTTCCTCGATAAAATCGAGTTCTTGCTGCCTGAGAAATTGAGGCCCTTGTACAACCACCCGGCAGGTAAGGGACCCAGAGTGGCTCCCGCCGAGAGCTTTCGTGCCTCTACCCCTGGAGCAGACCCAGTGACAGCTCTGCCGCCGGAGGCATCACCCACAGCCCCAGCCCGTCCCCATCGAGTGACTCCGTCTGCTTTCCCCGCCGGCCATGCCTTTCGCCGTACCTCAGCCACCGTGTATCAGACCTTCGCGACCCTTGTCGCACCCCATCCTTTAGGCTCGACCCAACCCTGGCCGGGCCCCGGGGCTTGACCGTTCTCCGTTTCCGCGACCACCAAGGGGTCTGGGCCAGCAGGAAACCGTCGTCCTGTCCTCCTTCCCTCCCCGAGTGGTGGCATGTTGACCCCGCGCGGAGCGGAGCCGCCTCGGCGCGCAAGAGGGGCGGGGAGGCTTGGAGGTCACCCTGCCTTCGGCTCCAGCTGGCAGAGGCCTGCAGATGCTGTACCGGGTTCAGAGTCATCCCCTGCCCCATGGGTCCAGCTTGTTTAAGGCTGTCCTTATTTACGAAATCCCCGAACAGGGTCTCCCTGGACCTTTTTGTGCGGACAGACCTGGGTTTAATTCTGCCCTGCTACTTACCGTAGGTGTGACCTTGGGCGAAATCTCACATATTTTAGTTTCTGTAAAATGCGCTTAAGGCGTCTAGTCACTGTGTTGTACCCCTGAAACTAATATAATATTGTATGTCGACTGTAGTTGAAAATTTTTTTTAAATCATTTTAAAATGGTGAGAATTAAATATAACATATACGATTGGTTCTTCGTACATGCTCAGTAAATGTTAGCGCTCTCTTGTCCTGCTGGGAAACAGTGCTCTCGTGCTTGAAAAAAAATATTTCTGTAAGAAATAGGAAGAATCCAGTCCCTCCCAAGCTGTATTTAAGATCCAGATTTCTCTATAAAATAGGCAGTAATCATACTTGGCTGGGAACTAAAGCCGAAGACTTTGCAAAGCAGAAAATGTGTTATAAATTGAAATACTGAAGTACAACTCAAAAGGGGGCCCTTCTTCCCCCACATAGCTAAGTCTATCTCTACACTTGATCTGGTTAGGAGAGACGACTTTTACCCACATACCTGGGTGGCTATGAAGCAACTCCCTGCAGTCTGAGCTGCTTAGTACTAAATCTGATTTCTATAAAGTTCGATAATGGAAAGAACTGTTTTGGGGGGGTTATACTTTAGTATTACTTACTGTAGTATTGTACCGGTTATAAAATTGATCTTTCAGAAGAGGTTTTTATAATTGAAAGAGTTATTTTGCCTTTTAGCTCCTTTAACACTCAAATATTTGGAATTGTGCCATTTTGTGGTAAAGATTATCAGGAGGAAAGGTTAGGCAATGCTTCTGTAATCATCTGCACTTGAGGGTCAACTGAATTCTATGGAGTCACTTTTGACCCCTTGAAAGGAGTGGTGTATGGGCTGTAGGGTAAGGGCAGGGTGGAGGAGATGCGATTTAAAACTACTTTAGCACAGAATTGGAGGGTAGTTTTATAGCGGTCTTTTCCAAGGCTTTAGCTTTGACCACCTAATCATTGTTTGTGATACTTTTTTATTCAACTTTCAGAATGAAGAGGAGTTACCTTTCATTTGTAAATTGTACATTTTGTCTGGATGTTCTTGGATTGATTCAGTTATTATGATCCCTTTTCTGTATAGAGGAAGGAACATAGACTTTGAAGCCAGACAGAGTGAGGTTTGAATCTTGATTATGTGATCTTTACCTAAAATGCTTCGAGCCTTAGTTTTCTAAACTATAAAATGGAGATAATAATTATCACTATTTAAGGATTGTTAGGATAATTAAATGATAGGATAAGCAAACACTCAGACTCTCAACCAGTGTTGGTTCCCTCCCACCTGAGCTTCTAAACAATATGCAGAGTAAGAACACCTGTCACTGAGAAAGTATTTATGATTAAAAAGTTGTATGCACAGCAATGTAGAAATGGAGAAGCATGAAAAATGTAATTGTTGATAAATTAGTGTTGAATAAAATCTGAGGAAACATTGATTATTCTTTCAGGAGTTATTAGAGTGCATATTTAAGTTTTTGCATAATAGTATGTTATTGAATCATTTATACATGAGGTTAGAGTCACTCCTGGAGGTTTTGACAATAATGTGCAAGGCTAGGGTATTAATAGTTGGATATCACCTCTCGCCAATTCTAAATTTTTGAGATTTGATTTTATCACTGACAAGTATGTACAGAAGATCTAAAGATTATTTAGCTCTAAAAAGGTAGCCCAGTCGTATTCTTACTGTGAAACCGTAATAACTTTAGTACAAATAAAAACAGGTATTTTAGGCAGTGTCAAAGAGTAACCTTTACAAATTCTAAGGTTTGTAGTTTGTCACACGATCGTGAACAGGTCAACTTGCATAATATAAGAAACCAAGAGAAATGTTAATGGATGTTGAAAAGTAGCAAACCATAGAGAAACGGTATGAAAGGCCTAGGAAGAGGGAATGGGACGCATTCAATTAAAAACTTTATTTTTCACATTGGGACATAGTGAGCATGTCAATTCAGTATTTGTATGTGTCTTTGCCTGTTTGTAAAAGTTACTTATTCTGTTCCAAGAAGAAAATCTTTCCTTAGGGAGAGAATCATACGTTCAATCAATGACATACTTTCTGCATAGAATTTATGTCATTAACAGTAACTGCTCTCAGATGAGGAAATTAGGAGGTAAATTTATGACTATTTTATCAACAGGTTCATCAAAGATGATCGAGACAACTAGATTTGTTAATTTGTTTAAAAATGTATGTCTGCTACATATTTGGTTATGATATCCCCTTGCAGAATTTCTCAAATTCTTCTATAAAAGTTTGAATTTTAAAAAACATCAGTTTCACTTTAAAACTAAGACGAACCCATTAACGACACACAAGAAAATGACCATTTTGTTATTTTCTGGATTTTTTGTTATGCTTGAAAATAGTTTATAGTTTTAAATATATATACATTCGTATTTGTTGCATACTTGTTTGATATTTCCAAATTGTCAGCTTTTGAAGCCTTTTTCAACTTCCCAGAGTAGACGTCTAAGCAACAAGATGAAAATGTCTTGTTAGTTAACTCTTTGTCTTTATATTTGATGGGGACACATTTCTCTCATTTTGGTCTCCAAATTAGATTTCTTATGAGATGATTTTTATTCAATATATTTCGCAGTTCAAATTTTCCACCTAATCAAGTTTTTTCATTCCTCGTAATGAATGTTAGCTAGGTACTCTCTTAGAGTACACTTTCAGTTATCTTGATTTTTAAGGTATTATAATCACGTCAGGTATCATAATTATTTATCTCATTTTTTGATGAATCGCTGTGTTTTAATGAATAGCCGTGAGAATAAGTGTGTCATTATATGGAATATAAACCTGGTTTTCCCAGATCTAGAATGACACGTGTGACATGTTACTGTTTGAGAATATATATTTTCAAATGCTTTTTTTAAATCAAAACTTCATGTTTTAGAAATGTTGAAGTAAGTTAGAATATTTTCTCATTACCGTATCTACTTTTGAGTGATTGTATGTTTCAGGAAGACAGCCTCTGAAGTTGAATTCATACATGTCTAAATGTATTTGACTTATTTTTCTCTTAAGATAGAAAAGATTGGCTAAGATAAACTGGAAAGGTGAACTAAAATAAGATTTCTTTGAAATTTTTGTTGACTTATTGTATGATCGGGGGTATTGCTAGCCAGTTACCAGCCCCCACCCCCTTTTTTAACAATGAAGAAAACACTCAGTTGCATTTATAGATATCTAACTCTGATTTTTTTGGTCACTTGTCAGCATCCTCTCATATCTCAGAAAAATTAGAAATTTAGAATATCACATATATATATATTTGCTACTGATAGTTTAAAATTCTATACTTAGCAGTTGTTAAACTAATTTAGGGTTTGTTTTGTAGTTTAAAATTATTCACTAATTAAATATTCGTACAGCTCTTGGTCCAGGTTTTAGCAACCATAATTTGATGCTTGAAGTGTTTTTGTTTGGTTAGTTGTGGGAGGAGGCCAGTTAATGTTTTAAAATTATCACCTAGCTCAGGACAGTGGGATAAACTGCAAACCTACTGAAAAGCTTGACTGTTTATTAACCCTTGAAGAGTCACCCATTTAAGCTCACAGAGAAACCAGAGTCCAGAGGCATTGCTCAGGAAATAAGTTTTTGGGCGGCAGAAGAGGAAATATCAGTTTTGAAATAGGAAGAGAGGAGTCTGGGAGTTCAAAGCCAGAGACTAAAACACCTGTGCTGAGTTACCCTCGAGTGATGAAGCCAAGCTTCGTGCAGGTATAAAAAATAAACTTAGTCATTGACACAGCCCATGACCAGAGACTTTGCGCATGACAAAGAAAAATGAACCGGGCGTGATGGTGGGAATCTCAGAAGCTCAAGTTAACTTAGGTTACCAGTGAGGTTGGAAAGATTGACTTAAAGGACCAGTACATCACTGGGTCAGCCTCCTGGGGAGACTGCAGGAGCTAAGCAGGAGTGCCGTGGTCTAAGCAGCACCCCTGTGAGTGAGCCTCACGCCACCCTGAGTGAAACCAGCCTGATGCCCCGGAGATGAGTGAACGCCCGGCCCTCGCCTTCCATGTGAAACGGTGTCAAGGCAAACCTGTAATTGCCCCGATTCGAAGTGACCCATCAGTGAACTAACGTTAAGTTCCATGTTTAATGCAGAGCACCAGAGCAGTTTCTAAAACCACCTCCGTTATACTTTCGCAAAGATGCAAATAATTGACAAGGAGATCAAAACAACTCACGTGAAAGAGTGATACCGTGGCACCTTCCTAGAGGTTGACTCATATGCGAAGTATCCAGAAAGCATAGTGGAAACGGTTCAAGTAGGGTGATAAATCTTTAGGTATTTGAAATGTGGTGATAAGTATTAAAAGACATGTATAAAGTCATTGAGTAGTTGATTTATTCCTAAATTTGTCTTTTTTTTTTTTTAGGTCCTAAAACAGTTTTTTTCTGGGCTCCAATTATGAAATGGGTAAGTCTTGAGTTTTTACAGAAGCTACTGGGAAAAAAATTCTCTAATAGGAACTTTTTAATTTGAAGTAACTTTTATGAAGGATGTGCTTTTAAGTGTTCATGGTGTGCCTCTAAATGATTTTATGCAAATATTCTTGGATGTATCATTTTTACTGCATAAAGCACACTTCAGATTTTTTTTAAAACTCCTTAGATAAGAGGACTTCTGGGAACACATTTATTATAAAAAGCTTACGATCATGAGCCCTAGGAACACGAACTTCTATTCTAAAATTTTATGACTAAGTAAAACATTAAACTGGTTAGAACCCCCCAAATTAAGTGTTGTTATTAATTTAGTATGAGAACTGGAGATACTAACACCAAAATAGAGGCAAGGAAAGTTAGTCTCAAAAAGTAGAAGGATTTATCTAAGAGTGTATGTTAACCTTTGGTAAATGATGGAGTCTGGGACTTACCCCAAGACCAGGCTTTTCACCCTTCGCCTTCCATTCCAAACATTCTCATTTCGCTAAAAGAAATCACCATGGTGGCTGTTTGTAGCAGATCACTGATTTTATGTTGAAAGGGCCAGTTTGGGCTTATAGCAGTGCTTCTCCAAGTGTCACCCCTGGACCTGTGGCATTGACATCACCAGGTAACGTGTTAGAAACGCACATCTTCAGACCCTATCACAGATTTACTGAATCTGAAACTGTGGGGATGGAGCCCAGTAATTCGTGTTTTAATAAATTGTAGTAAAATAAACATACGATCAAGCATCTTAACCATTTTTATACTGTTAAGTCCATTTGTATCTCTGTGCAACCAATCTCTAGAACTTTTTTATCTTGCACAACTTAAACTCTGTCCACGTTAAACAGTAACTCTTCATGCCTCTCCCCACGGCCCTGGCAGCCACCATTCTGGTTTCTGTCTCCAGGAATCTGACTGCTCTGGGGACCTTAGTAAGTGCAGTCACACAGCATTTGTCTTTTTGTGCCTGGCTTATTTCACTGAGCATAGTTTCCTCAAAGTCCATCATTATAGGGCAGTGTTTCCTTCCTTTTTAAGTCTGGGTAATACTTCGCTGTGTATTTGCACCACATTTTTATATCCACTCACCTGCCTACAGATACTCAAGTTGCTCCCGCTGTTCGGCCATTATGAGTGATGCTGCGGTGAGCAGTGGTGATATCTGTCCCAGTTTCTGCTTTCAGTTCTTCTGGATGTATACCTAGAATGGGAATTGTTGGATCGTGTGGTAATTTTATATTTAATATTTCGAGCGACTGCCCTCGGATTCCCCGGTGGCTGCACTGTTTTACAGTCCCACCAGCAATTAACAAGGTCCCAATTTCTCTACGTCCTGCCAACACTTCTTACTTTTGTTGTTGTTTCGTAATAGCCATCCTACTTGGTGTGAAGTGCTACTTTTTTTGTGGTTTTGATCAGGGGTCCCCAAAATCCCTCCCACTCCACCCCCCATTCCTCCAGCCACCAGTCCCTGGCGCCAAAAAGGTTGGGGACCACTGGGTTTGATGTGCATTTCCCTGATGCGATTAGTTATGCTGAGCATCTTTTCATGTGCTTTTGGACCCTTTCAGTTACTTTCTTTGAGAAAAACCTGTTAAGGCCCTTTGCATGTTTTTTAATCAAGTTGTTTTTTGTTGTTGAATTGTAGGCTATTATAATTCTCTAAAATGTACTATTTTAAATTTGTTGGAACAATTCAAAAATTCCATTGTAAATCTTAGTGGTTGAGAATGTTACAGCTAGAGGTGGCTATCCCTTAATTGTAGGCCTTAGGCAAATTAAACCTGCCAATTTACATCCTCAGCTATAGCATGACGAGATTAGATTAGTGGCTGGGAGCTATATTTTAGAGAGAACTAGAGAGCAGTTCTTTTTTTATATTTGTGTATTGAGAAAAAGTCCTGTCAGTTAAAAAAAAAAAGCTTAATATATTACTTTTCCATGGTTATGCTCGTATTCTAAGCTTTCAAAAATAATATGGTGTGCCAAAAAAAGAAACCACAACGCATACTAATAGAAGGTCTGTGAATACTTCCTTCCTCTTCTCTCTACCACACATAAAATTATGTAGCAATTATATATCTATATTTACAATAAAATTGGGGTCTCCTTTCACCTCAAATTTGCCACAATTTAGCAGTTCGTTGATTTTATCAATAGCTTCTGTGTTTCTTTGATTTGGTCCATCAGTGTTTGAAAAGCTGACAGTATTAGACACTCATAGTGTCCTCTCGACTGTCTCCTTTAAAAACATCTATTTTAAGGTCATGTTGAAATCATAACAGAGTCTACTGATGACAGCACAGCCATGGAAACTTCCGTGTCTTGTTCCCTGGCGGGGAGACTTCTTTTGTTAGGTATTTACTTTTTGTGCATATTAATGTGTTTTCTTCTTCCAGAGCATTTGATAATTAATCTGTGGTAGTCTATACATAACACACAAAAATTGCTGCTGCCATAGAGTCCTTCTTAGCTACTTTAATTGAAACCAAATAATCCTAAAGGTCAAAGTGGATAACCTTCAAAACAATACTACATACCTTAAATATATATTGATTTTCCAATCATCTTCAAGGCCGAAGCTTTTATTTATGTATAGATCCACTAATTTTGAGTTTCACATCTTCTCTCTTGGATGAATGATGCCATCATGCTTCCCATATGATTTCCAGTTTAGTTTTCTTTAAAGCAGAGCAAATTCATAGGCACTTCCATAATAGTATGGCAAGAGAAACCTGCTGGATTTTTATGGCTTTCCCTCGAATTTTTTTATATCTGTCTCGTTCAAAGCAAATTTGACAGTAAGTTTTAACAACTTGCCTTTATTCAGTCTTTTCAAAACAGTCGCTTTAGTTTTTATAGAAATAACAACTTACTTTTTGTATTTCACCTGTTTACCTAGTAGTTCATTAAATTATATAACAAATAAAAATGGCATAAACAGGTTTGAGTACAAACACGGTGACTTGATAAAAATGCAGCTCAGCTGGTGGAACCAAAGCAGCATGTGGGTGACACAGAATAAACAGCCCACTAGCAGTGAGCGTCCCCGTGTCACGGGTGCTCATCAGCCTGTTTACAGGAGAAGTGCAGATTGTCGACCAACCGGGGCTGATTGTTACGCGGAGGTCGGTTAAGAGAGCTTCTTTGTTTTTGTTGAAAGTCTTTTTGTACCGACTGGGTTATACTTAACTCTTGAGCAGTATACATACCATTTGGTGTAGCTAATTTTTTGTATTTTCTCCTAAGGAATAAATCAAATTTTCAGGATAACCCATGCATATTTTTAATACCTATCTGTGGTATATAATCTTGTGGTATACTCTAAGCACTCCTCAAATTTACAGTTCTATTATTTGAATAAAATTCAGAATAAAGATGAAAAGGAACATAGAACTTCTGCCCCTTACCCTGAGGTTGGTAATGTGGGAAAGGATATAGAGTCTGATATTCCTTTATCTCTGCAGCCTTAAAGATAGAAGCTACTATTATTTTTGTTGTTAATAATATTTTCTAGACACTGCTAAATACTTTTATGCTGAATACTTTTAAAGCATATTATATCATGGAATCATATATCACTTTTGCAAAGGGGAGCGATTAATATTCTCATTTTATACACGAGGAATTTAAGGCAAAGTGTTATGTAACTTGACCAAAGTCACACAGCTAGTAAGTGGCAGAGATTAGATTCACAATGAGATTTTCTAACATAATTTACACCAGGGTAGAGTAATGTAGAAGTAGAAAGGGTTTTTTAGAACCGTGACAAAGGGAGCTCAAGACTTTCATGGAACAGAACAATTACATGTCCAGGAAAACAAAGTGTATACTGTGAGCGTAAACGAAATCGTCACCACTGACTTCCTCCAAAAGAGAATGCTGAAATACAGCCTGTAGTCTTCGGAGATTATTCAGCAGGCCACAGTGTCAACTGTACAGTGTGGACCCTGCAGAATAATAGTAGGAATCAGTCTCTTTCTTCCCCTCTACGAAGCAGTTTTACACCCTGACAAATAAGCAGACGAGAACCGGAGAAGCGGTACACTGGGCCCCGGGAAGGACTGGAGGAGGGGTGGTTAGGAAGCATTCGCGAAGGAGATCGGACCGTGAGTGAAAGGTGACGCAGTTTACCTAGTTATACTCCGGTATTTAACCTTTCGCCCTTTTTTTAATCATTGCTTTCTTGGACTACTGACTTCATTGATTCGAAACCATTTGGATTTGATTGAAATCTGTGTTTAAATTTGCAAGTACATGTGTATTCTATTTAGGAGGAAAACCCTTTCTGATTTATATTTGCATGCACGAGCATCTTTAAGAAACTCAGTAAAACCAGAAAATAATTTCTTAAAAACATATTCTCTAATGACGTATTTAGGATTTGATTTGAAATACTTGAAGGAAAGGGGAGAAGGCGGGGAGAGAGGTGACGCCAGCGTGCAGGATCTCAGCAATGGCGACGGACTGGTGACGGCTGCGCGGGCTCTCTGTGTTAGTCTCTGCTGTTTTGTGTAGGTGGAGGCTTGAATTTCCCATCAGTAAAAATCACTCTGTTATGTATCCTGATCTCAGAAGAGTAGCATAATTAATTTTCTAGTGCGGACTCATTACTAAACGTTGTGAGTGATGCCGACAGGAGAGTATGAGGGATGATTCCATGAAAAAGTGTTAAAAACACAGCAGAGAAGAATAGACCATCTGTACTTCGACATTAAATAAAAATGACCTGACCAAGAAACTAAAGTTCTAACAGAGCTTTTTCGATACTTCCACTTTTAAAAAGAGACACGAAAGGAGGACTCGACACAAATTGCCTTAGTTTTCGGGCATCCTCCACGCCGGTAGTTCCCGCGTGGATAGAGGATATATAAATTCACCTGCGAAAGAAGTGCTCGTGGAACAGACACACAGACGCTGCCGATTTTCAGATATGTCAGGCTGCTGCTTAACGTGCTTAACGGAAGAGAAGGCGTTTAAAAAGCATTCCCGAATTCATCGTAGCTTTGTGTCGTGATATACGTTTTCTGAATGCATGGATACTAAAATTATCGCCACTATCGTGTGGAAACCTCTTAAATAGCTTTGTGTTTTATTTAAAGTTCAGAACCATTAAAAAAAATCTTCCTTTCTGTGTGTTACTGTGTATTTCCAGGGATTGGTGTGTGCTGGATTAGCTGACATGGCCAGACCCGCAGAAAAACTCAGCACAGGGCAATCTGCTGTTTTGATGGCTACAGGTAAATTAAATGAGTATCTTTCATGTTCCATGTAGGATAGTCATGAGTTTTGCTTTATTTTACATCAGTTTCTTTAACAACTTAATGTTTGAAATACACACACAGGAATGAGATGCTCTAGGGACTTATTAGATTGTAGATGGAGAAGACAGAGGATTACTATGAATAAGTATCTGCATGGGTTCTTGTTTTTCAAGTTTTTGCCATGAGCATATTTTTATAAGTAGGGGGAAAAGTTCCAATTAATATTTATTTGCCCTATAAAGATTTCTCTTTGATGTAGGAACTGAGTATTTTGTGTAACACTGAATTATGGCAATTTTATTAAAGACTCAGAGTATAGCTTTTCTCTGTCCTTTATCCTGCATTATGTTGCCATAGTCTTATTTATAATTGTTTTACACTAATATTCAATGTTCAGATAAGATAGCACTGCAATACCTATGCTTTAAAAAACATTTTGCTTCAACAGGGTTAATTTGGTCAAGATACTCGCTTGTAATTATTCCAAAAAACTGGAGTCTGTTTGCTGTGAATTTCTTCGTTGGGACAGCGGGAGCCTCTCAGCTCTTTCGTATTTGGAGGTGAGCTGAGCGAGGGCCTGAAAACACCGGCCTCAGACGCCACCCCGATGGCAGCGCTTTTCTTTTTTTAAGATTCGTGTGTGATACTAAGGTGGGATGTACCTAAAGCAGAAATTTCACCTTTCTGGAAAAGTCTCGAGGTTTAAGTTAAGTTAAAAGTATCAAGCAGTGTATTACCTTACCTAGGTTATAAATCTTTGTATTATCTACATGTATAGCACTTCCATAGAATGTCTTATTAAGATATCATACAGTTTATGATATCCTAAGTAACTTTCTGCATGAGCCTTTTATCACTCCTCTCAGCTGTGTATGATAAAGTGGGACTAAAACGCATTGGAGACGATGTTTAGAGCGAGGCCGCGGGTTTCCTTGGGAAGGGCTCCACGAGCTCTGGAAAGGTGAACCTGCTCACTCGGTACTTAACATGTTTGTCAGTGAGTGGCTAATACTGCGATGAGCTCATCTTAGAGGGAGCCAGTGGTTGAACATGGGACCATCCTAAATTACAAAGCAGTGTCATGAATAACAGCTTTCTTTGGCTAAAAGAAATGGAGTGATCTCAGTTAAAAAAAAATAGAAAATATTGAGTTATAATTTACATGCCTTTCAGAAGGTATTCTGTTCTGCAGAGTATAGTGCATTTTATTCATCTTTACCACCCCTAGTTTAACTAGCAGCTTTATAATTAACTCTTTTATAATTGTCTAGCACATAATGGACAGGTGAATAAACAACTCTCGTACTCTACAGTGCGCCTCAAACATTTTAGCGCCTATTTATTCACAAAGTAGTTTTCTCATGCACCATCTCATCTTTACCTTATGTTAACTCATGAAAGCAGAACTAAGAGGATGCTAAGTGCCATATTCAGAACTATTATTTCTGATATCAGAAATTCAGATACAGTTTGACAAAAGGATTTTTGGCATCTCTCAGTTATAATAGTAGATTGAGAAATTTAGTTAGAAATACAAATATTAGACTTGAGCATTTAGGAAAACGCTATCCAGTATTTGAAATCAGGAGGTATGGTAGGCTCCACGGAAGGCGTTCCTGCTTGCACATGTACTATTCTCCGCTCTGCTGTAAGCTGGGAAGAACAGTCACCGAAGTTCAGGGCATTTTAAAAGAGAATGACTCTGTGGCTTTGCAGCTCATTCTTCTTTGGATTAATGAGAATTGGAAATATAGTCCTTAGCTTCAATAAACGTGTGTTTACATCTTGTTAACCCAGTAGCCTTCCTGCATCAAAGGAGTATATTTTATTTTTAGTGATTAGACCAGGATCTCTTCCTAGTTGAATTTATTCTCAGGAAAGATCTAGATGACCATGTTTTGCTAAATTTTATACATATGTTCACATGTTTGTCATACTCTTGTATAGTTCAAGAATGAAAATATTCATTAAAATAATGCTTTTGTACAGGAAACTATATCTCAGTTAAGTTGTTAAAATTTTCGGGCAGTTAGAAGCCAGATGCAAATAAAGTTCTTGAGTCACTTTCCCTTCTGCTTATTTCTATCTATAAGGCCCTGGAAAGATTGTATTTACAAGTATAAAGTCTCTTGACTAGTGAAAAAGAAGAGATGGAATATGCTTGTCATTCCCTTCTTATTATACATTTATCTGTTGTGATTCATGATTATTTTTCTCTGTTTTCTTTGTAGGTATAACCAAGAATTGAAAGCTAAAGCAAACAAATAAAAGAGCTCTTGATCACTCAAACAACCTAGATGTGGACAGAACCACTAAGACCTAGTTTGATTTATTGTTTGGTTGTTGGTAAAGTGATGCTAACTGTGCTAACAATTGGAAGGCATAAAAAATTCTCATTTAATTGGGAGCTAGTACTTGATTCAGCAAGAAATAAAGCACATTTTTAATAGCAGTGTCTCTTTACACATGACTTAAGGAACTTATCTGTGGATATTAGTAACATTTTCCCCTGCTATTTGCCCGTAATAAATCCTACTTGCTCCGACATGCCCCTGGCCTCCTTCTATTCTAGCCGTCCAAAGTGTGTGCATATAGGAGCACACACATTCAGTCGAGTCAAAAGATAGTTGAAAGGTTAAGTCATCTGCTGCACAGTGAAGACATAGATTACTGCATATAAGAAATAATTAACAGTCTTTTGGACTTGAGCTCCAATTGGTGTGCAGAGCTTTCTTCTGAAAATCCTGGTAAAGCCTGTCCTGGTTAGAACCGTAGCCAGAGGAATCAGCAAAGTAAGTTCTTTCTGAATTTACCAAAGCAAGTGACAAAAGAACTTTTTCAATAAAAATGTAACAATCAAAATTCAGCAATTAGCAGTTGAAAACCTTGCACTTTCTTCTTTACCCCTTAGAGGTAGTCCATCTTTGAGGAGGAAAGATTAGAGGATTTGACATTAGCAAAAGTGGAGATGTACTTGAGGGCCAAATTCTTACGCTTTATTTTTATAAGTCGCACTGTTAAGTTAGTTTGGCTCGTGTGTGCATACATATGTGTGTGTTTCCTGGGGTTTGACAGTTAGGAAAAGCATCTATGATGAAATATGCCATAGACACAAAAAAGTTAATTAAAATGTATGTTTTGAATTGGTTTTTTACTCCCTTTCATTAAAACATGCTCTTTCTTATATGGGTGTTCTCTCTCTCTCTCTCTCTCTCTCTCTCTCTCTCTCTCTCTCTCTCACTTTTATTTATCTCTACAGAATATTTTTTATTTAAAAAGAATATAATATATTTCTACTCTGCCATCTTGACCAGGACTCTCTTCTA